TCCTCCTCCCTCCTCCTCCTCCTCCCTCCCCCTCCTCCTCCGCCTCCTCCTCCTCCTCCTCCTCCTCCTCCTGATCCTCCTAAGGCGGAGGAAGAGAAGAAGGCGGAGGAGGCGGAGGAGGAGCAGCTGCGTAGACCCAGGAAGAATCCACGATGCCTCAGCACACCTTCCCGCGCCACGCCCCCCGACAGACGAGCACCACGTGGGCCCGCCACAGTCGGGCGAGCACCCCGCTCCGAGGAGGAGCAGCACCGCGGTCTTCCTGCGAGTGGCAGGGCATGCGAAGAAGGTCCGCCGCGGAGGAGGCGAGGCGGCGGCGCTCGGGGGGAGGGGTGGGGCCATCCTTCCCCGGCAGCCGGGCTCCGTGGAGCCGCCGCGGCGCGTCCCTGGCGCTGCCGGGCGACCTGCTGCCGCTCCTCCTCCTCCTCCTCCTCCTCCTCCTCCTCCTCGTCCTCCTCCTTCTCCTCCTCCTCCTCCTCCTTCTCCTCCTCCTCCTCCTCCTCCTCCTCCTCCTCCTCCTCCCCGCCGTCCCCCTCTCCTGCTTTTGTGTTTTCGTTTTTGTCTCTCTTTTTTCTTCGCCCTCCTCCGCCCTTCTCCTCCTCCCCCTCCCTCTCCTCCCTTTCCTCCTCCAGAGCAAGCGAAGCGCATACAAGCACGCACATCGTCATGCTGGGCCCGCCGATCCAGGCTTCACCCCATCTACTGGACCAACGGATTGGAAAGCCACGAGGAGTATAACATCATACACGCACTTCGTGAAGCCGCCCGCAATCAACGGCGCCGAAGGCCCAAACGAGCGCCACATCGCCGCTCCTGTCGCAGGGCCCAGCACGCAGGCTGCAGCGCGAGCAAGGGTGATGGTCGACGAACACGCCACCCGCTCGTCATCGTTTACTACGGTCATCATGAACAGGTCTCTGGGTGGCACGTCCATCTGGCACAGACAAGCACGAGTCAGGAAAAGGATATACACGAGTGCGACGTTGGGCATGAATGGCATCAACATCATTGTAATATTGGAAGGCAAGTGTGTGAAGACCATGGTGGGAATCGGCCCAATGCGATTGCAAAGCCAAACTGCCACGGCGTATGAGCCAGTGCCAAGTACACTGCCAACTCCGAAGAGCACACCAATGGCCCGCTCGGAGACGCCGTACTGCGTGCTGAGCCAATACGTGAACACCGCTTGCAACACCATACCTCCCGCCCAAGAGTCTACAGCAAAGAGCGACGCCAAGCCCACGATCCGGCCGCGGTGTGGGCACCGCGTGAGAGTCAGGTCTGGCTTCTTGTCCAGCAGCGTCGCATCGGCCGCGCCGACAGTCGACCCTGCGATACCCAACGTAGCGTACGCCACCGCCACGAGGCCCAGCACGACTGAAACGGCCACCACTTGCAACGGTGCCGCCTCCTGCTGCGTCTCACCTGAGCCAACAAGGGCGGCTGGAAGGGGCAACCCACAGGCAAACGACCCGAGCGAGATCGCGGCCGACGACACGGCGTTGTACCACCCGAAGATTGCCGTCTTCTCCGCCTTGCTGGAGCAGGCGTCGGCCAGGGTGGCCTGTTCCAAGGGCACCTGCGCTGCGACGTTGGGCTGTACGCAGACGCCTCCCAGCAGCCCCACGAGAAGGACGGCGGTTCAACGATGGGGCACTGACCTGAGGGATGGGTCCCTAAGGGCAAGAAGTGAACCACAAGCTGAATCTTCATTCTTTGTTTTGCTGGTTTCTATTTTCGCCGCAATGTGCGAAAGTTTCCAGGTTTCCTGTTGGCTCGGGCGGGTGCCGTTCGCATCACGGGCCGAGCCAAAACAGAGAGATCGCGAAGCACACATTGAACCTTCACTGCTGGAGTCCGAGCGTCCTTAATTAGGGCCACATCCCTCAGGGCCCCCCTTTGCACCGTCGAAGAAGCGCCACCGGGAGTTGGCCGCCGGCCGCTGCGAGGACGGCGCACGCCGCGGACATGGCGGCGGTCAGCAGGGCCAGCACCGCCTGCCGGGGCAGCCGCCGCGCCAGCCGGCCCACGGCGAGCGTCTGCAGCACGGCGCCCGCGAGCCCCGCGGAGAGCGCCGCGAAGATGCCGGCGGCGCTGAGGCCGCGGGCTCCGAGCGCCAGGGGCAGTGCCACATCTCGGCTGCGCGCAGGGGGTGGCCACCGGCCATCGCTCGGACGTCCATTCCCTGTGTTCTTTTTCGGTTTCGTGCGTGGTTTTTTCGCCAATGGATCAAGGCTGCTCCTCGATGGTCCTCGCCGAAGGAAAAATGCACACGTCCGAGCGATACCAAGGCCAGCGGCAGCGGGTGGCCCTCTGCGGCGCGGCCTGCCGAGGGGGCCGCGCGCGCCGCGCGGCAGGCGGGCGGCCCCGCGGGCCCTGGGCGTGGCGCCCCGCGCGCCCTCTCGGAAGGCCGCGCCCCAGAGGTCCCCCTGGCGGAGGGCCCCTTCTTGCGGGCAGCCGAACATTGAGCGCCCCCACCGCGAAGGACCGGGAGAACCGCCCAGCCAGGATCACGCAGACTGCCCTCGAGCTGGCCATGGCAGCCCCTCGTGTCCGCGTCCGCCCCGGGAGACCTCGAGCAAAGGCGGCTACGTACGGTCGGTGTGGATTGGAGAGGACACGCGAGAGGACACAATACTCTTCCGATGGCCACATTGCCAGTGGAACGTAGAGGGCATGGGTCGCGGCACACAGGACACAAGGGTACCCTTGTTTGGGTAGGGTCGATCTACTAATCAAACTTGACTGTAGGGGGAGGACGAGGATGACGAGGATGAAGATGAGGATGATGCTACTGCTGATGATGATGATGATGATGACGATGATGATGAAGACGACGAGGAAACAGATGAAGATGCTGATGGGGATGCGGATACGGATGAGGATAATCAGGATGATACTGCTGCTGCTGATGATGATTGATAAGATGACGAGGTTGAGGTTGAGGAACACGAAGAAGATACTGCTGCTGATGATGAGGATGAGGAGGAAGAGGAGGAGGAGGAGGAGGAGGAGGAGGAGGATAAGCAACAGCAGGAGCAGACAAAGGAGGATGAGGATCAAGAATAGTTGCCTCACCTGGGGGCGGCCGATCTATTAATACCAGCGTGCACGGGAGGAGAGGATCAAACGGAAGAGAATCTTCCATTATCCGCCACCGTGACCCCTGGCACGTTGAGGCGTGGAAGAATGCCAAGGTCTGCCTGGTAGGGTTCTGGCATTCTAATAAGGGGCCGCCCCGCCCTCTACCCGCAGACTCTTGTGTGCATCCCGGTACTCACCGAAGGCAGTTCCTTCCTGCCAGCTCGAGGATGGTGCACTTCCAGCATGGCAGCCAAGGCCCAATCGCCCATTCCACGCGTGCCCGCTCGAGGATGGTGCACTTCCCGCAGGGCAGCAAATGCCTGAACCCCTCTTCCACGCGTGTCCGCTCGAGGATGGTGCATTTCCCACATGGCAGCTGCTGCCTGAGCCCTCATTACATGCGCGCTCGCTCGAGGATGGTGCACTTCCCACGTGGCTGCTGACTCCTCGACCCCTCATCCCACGCGCAACCGCTTGGGGATCGTGCGCTTCCCACATTCCCAGGCGGTGCTCCCAAGAGCTCCAGGGCTTCCCAAGCCACGATCCCTCATAAAAAACAATGGATATGCGCCCCGAGCCCTTCCACGCCCACGACGACGCCACGACGGCTCCCAGACACCCACCAGGCTGCCAAGAGGGCCCCAAGACGGCCTCAGAGAGCGCCAAGCCGACGTACGAGGGCCCCAGGACGGCCCAAACGGGCCCCAAGGGATCCCCAAGACTGCCGCCCAGGAGGCCAAGGCGGCCCCAAGACGGCCCACACGAACTTCCTCCTTTCCCTCTTCCTCCTTACCAGCATCAGCAACACACTCACCCTAATCATCATACTTAATATGATAACCATCGTGGCCATCGACATTGCCGTCGTCACCATCATTACCATCATCAGTAGTACCATCATCACAGGCATCATCATCACAGCCATCAGCACCACAACCAGCACCATCACTATCATCAACGTCGTCATCATCATCAACATCACCAGTACCATCATCATCACCACCATCGTCAACATCACCACCACACCGTCAACATCACCATCACCATCATCACCGTCGTCACCATCGTCACCATCGTCATCGTCGGCGGCGACGGCGGCGTTGGCGTCAAAGTCAGCGTCGTCGTCGTCCTCGTCGTCACCATCATCATTAACACCACCATCATCACCATCAGCATCATCACCACCATCATCACCCTCACCATCATCACCACCACCATCATCATTATCGCCAGCAGTGGATCCGCCACTCACCATCACCGTCATCATCATACTCATTGTCGTCGTCGTCTTCAACATCATGAGCAGCATTAGCATCATCATCACCATCATCGTCACCAGCATGAGCATCAGCGCCAACATTCGCACCATCATCATCAACACCAACACCACCATCATCATCATCAACGTCTCAATCGCCATCTCCAGTGACATCACCATCAGCGTCATTTTCATCATAAGTACCATCATCATCATCATCATCATCATCATCATCATCATCATCGTCATCATCATCGTCATCATCGTCATCATCATCATCATCACCATTCTCTTCATCATCATCATCATCATCATCATCATCATCATCATCATCATCATCATCATCGTCATCACCACCAGCAACCTCATCTTCAACACGATCGTCAGCACCATCATCATCATCAGCATCATCTGCATCAGCATCACCATCGACATCAACACCAGCATCAGCCTTCTCATCATACTCAGCAGCGTCATCATCACCATCACCATCATCATCACCATCACCATCATCATCACCATCATCACCATCATCACCACCACCATCATCACCATCATCATCATCATCACAACCACCACCATCATTATCATCATCAGCAGCAGCAGCATCATCATCGTGATCATCGTCATCACCCCCCATCATCCTCATAATCCTGAAGACACGAGGTGTCACACGTGACGGCTTCCAGTGCCCCCTCGAACAGTCGCCACCCAGAATGCTGGGCTGGTACGGTGGCGGGACTTGCTGCAGGCAGTTGGATAACAGGACGCAATGCGCCGCACAACAAGTGATGAAATCAACAGACCAAGACAAGCGAATTGCATCGCACTTCCTCCTCCTGCCTCAACGTCCTCCTCCGTCCTCATTCACTTCTCCCTCCTCCTTCTCCTCCTCCTACTCCTCCCCATTCCCCTGATCTTCCCTTCGTCCACCCCACCACCTCTGATCCTGTTGCTGCTCCTCATTCTTCTTTTCCTCTCTCCCCGACCCTCCGTCTCCCTCCTCCTCCTCCTCCTCCTCCTCCTCCTCCTCGTCCTCCTCCTAATGATCCACCTGATCTTCTTCCTCCTCCTCCTCCTCCTCCTCTTCTCCTTGCTATCCTTCTCGTGCACCCACCGCTGCCGCTGCCGCTGCTGCTCCTCTCCCGGACCCCTCCCCCTCCCTCGCCACCCCGCCCGCACCCATCCTCCCCCGCCGCGCCTCGCTCCTCCCCCCCTCCGCGCCGCCGCCGTCGCCGCCGCGCCCGACATCCGTTCGTGCCTGGCCTCCCGCCCCCTCCCTGGCCACAAGCCCTGCCCAGCTCCTCGCACCGCGCCCGGCCGCGGCGCCGTGCGCCCGACACGCCAACGACGGCAGCGGCGGCAGCCGACCGGCGACCGACGGCCGCCGCCGCCGCCGCCGACGCCGACGACGACCGGAGGACGACGACGACCGAGGGCGACCGAGGACGACGACCACGACCGACGACGATGACATCGACGGCGACGACGACCGACAACCGCAGCCCCGAGGGCGACGACGACGACGACGACCGACGACCGACCGACCGACGACGTCGGCGCCGCGGGGGCCGCGACCCCGAGGGCGACGGCGTGCCGCAGGGCGTCCCGCGGATCACCGCCGCCGGCCTGTGCACGCGGGAGCTGCCGTGCTTCCAGGGCCCCGCGGGCCAGTGCCTCGGCAGGCAGGGGGGCGGGCGACGACGGGAAGGGCGAAGAGGCACGGAGGGAGGAAGGGGTGGGTGAGGAAGGAGAAGGAGGATGAGGAAGAGAGGAGAAGAAGGGAGGCTGAGGAGGAGGAGGATGAGGAGGATGACGAAGAAGAGAAGGAGAAGTATCAGGAAGAGAGGAGAAGAAGGGAGGAGGAGTAGGAGGCTGAGGAGGAGGAAGAGGAGGATGAGGAGAAGGAGGAGGAGGAGGTGGGAGGAGGGGGATGAGAACGAAGGAGGAGAGAGGCGAAGGAGGAGGAGGAGGACCAGTGTAAATCTAAGACTCATCAGCGATGCTAGAATGCACCCTCCCCCAAGTTCCCTCTGCATGGGCCCCTACAAAGGTTCATTCCCACTGAGGAAATTTCTCAGGACTTCAACGCCACGAGATAACCTGATGGTGAGGTCTTGGCGATCCTAACCCGTGCCAGAATACCACTCGTTGGACTTCAACACAGCGAATCAACGTACATGTTGCGCCCTGACAATCATGACTCGGCAACACACCATGCCTGGTACGTTGACCATGAGAAGGGATGAAGCTTCTACCAACATTTACGGCGACTGTGCGCGGCCCTAAAGCGAGAATCAGACTTTGAAAGGGAGCTGCCCCGCATCCGCGAGGCTCTTGCAACCTCTCAAAAACGACTGTGCACGACGCCGAGAGGGCGACAAACACATTTCGAACGCGAGCCGCCCTCAACCCGTGAAACCCTGGCAAACTTTGAAAACGAGTGTGCGCGACACTAGAGTTTGCTTCGACCGGTACTTCGCCACCGGGTTCATGGAGAAGGCGCGCCTTTGCAAGTACGTCGGCTTCGGCACCGCCTGACTCCGAAGCTTTGCCTCCTCCCAGCCTCGTTCTGAGGCTGCGCCCCCCTTTTCCTCCCCCATCTCTGATTCATTCGAGCTTCGCGCGGCCCGCTTCGCTTCGACCGGAAGAGGTGCGCTCTCGACCCGCAAATCGAAAAAAAGTGTGCGCGGCACTAAGGGCGTTAAGGGCGTGAAAGCACAGATTTTGAACACCAACCCGCCCTTCCTCCGTGGAGCTCTTGCGACAGGTTTGAGTCGAAGGTTCGCAGCGCTGAGGGCGAGAACACCGTATCTTGAACACGACCTGCGCTTTTACTCCGAGGAGCTCTTACGACTCTTGAGAACTCCCTCTTGGTTCTGCTGCACGTTTTTTCTGCTCCTGACCCCCCCTCAGGCCAATCCCGGGATCCTGCCTTCTCCCTCCTCTTTCCATCCGTCCTCTCTTCCCCTGCTTCAGGGGCTGCAGCAAGTTCACGTGGCAGGCAAGGAAAATACACCCCAAGGAGGTACGATTGAAGACGAAGAGGGCGGGCACTGAGGGTTTAGGAAATACGTGTTGAATGGCACGCGAGTAGGTGAGAGCGAACAGTCTTTAATGTATGGTTGTTGTTGTTGGTGGTGTTGGTGGCGTCGTTGTCGTTGTAATCCATGCTGTCGTTGTCGTTGTTGTTGCCATTTTCTTATGCTGGTATTACCAGTGTTACACTTAGCCGTACTATTACCAATATTCTTATTATCATCACTATCAGTCTCACTCTTGTTTGCTGTTATGTTTAGCTTCGCTCCCCAATTCGGCTTGCCTAAGGGGCTCTTACTTGGTCAAAGGTTGGCGCCTCGGACGGTTACTCTGCCCGCTCCTCAGAGACTCCTCGGGGACTCCTCGGGCTCCCCGTCCCCGGGGCTTCCTTGGACAAGCGCGTCCCACTGCTCGCAAACTACCCACTCGCCAATGGCCCGGGTACGCCGCAGGGGATTTACGACACACTGCGTGGAGGAAGACGTGATTTTCTCGGACGTTTGCGAGTAGGCACGTTGCGACAGGCCTCGGAAAAAAATAGCGAACACTCATGCCACATTCATCTGTGAACGCCTCCCCCTCCCCCCAACATTCAAAGCTGGTGGTGGGTCTGATGAGTTGCACCGCGACCGCAGTCTCCCCCCGCGCGTGCCAACTTTGAGTTTGGGGGGCAGGGGGGGTGTTCACTAATTGTTTCCCTCTACCGGAGCAGCGGAACGCGCTGGCGCCATGGGAGGGAGGGCGGCGCCGCGCTGGCGCCGGCAGGCACGCGGAGGTGCCCACCGGGCAGCGGCCGCCCCCGACACCAGGCAGCGGCGTGCGGAGAACATGGGGCAGTCCAGGGGAGCTGCTGCTCCTCCTCCTCCTCCTCCTCCTCCTTCTCCTCCTCCTCTTCCTCCTCCTCCTCCTCCTCCTCCTCCTCCTTCTACAATTACTCAATATGAATACTACTCTCCCTCTTCCCCTGATGACGGTTTGAGAGTGGCCGACCCCCCCCCGCGTACTGTTTTTTACACACAGGTTTCCCCAGAGTTGGGTTATCGCCTGCATTTTTTTCAAAATGCTGCTCTTGCTGAGGCGCCGGCCTCATTTTCGGGCCCCGCTCGTTCCGAATCGTGCTCCCGCTGCAGCGCTGGACTCATTTTCGTGCTTCCGCTCGTTCCGACTCGTGCTCCCGCTGCAGCGCTGGCCTCATTTCCGCGCTTCCGCTCGTTTCGACTCGTGCTCCCGCTGCAGCGCTGGCGTCATTTCCCGTGCCATGCCACGGCATGCACTGCAATGCTAGGTTGATACCACGCTTTGCGGTGCTCTTCTACGCCATGCCATGCCGTGCTCTAAAATGCATCGCGTACCCTTTCGGGACCATTGCCCTGCTCGACATCCGACTGAGCGAGTAGAGAGGGGATCTGCGCCATGGTAAGGGATGGGAGGGAGGGGTAGGATGTCAGGTATGACGCGAGCGCACCTAGCTTGTCTTCTCCCTCTCCCCCTCCCCCTCCCCCTCCCCCTTCCCCTCCCCCCCCCCCCCCCCCTCCCCCTCCCCCTCCTGCGGCCGTGCGCGGTAGCGCTCAGAGCCGCTGTGGAGTCCAACGGCACGGGTGCAATATCTTCGAATCGGGGAGCCTCGCGCAGCAATGCCTTGCAGAGGCCTTCTTTCTCCGCCACCGTGCCTCGGGGCACGGAGTGGGCGTGTCCTCGGGTCCTTTGCCGAAAGCCTCCCTGGGGCCCGGAGCCCAGATCACGAACGCTGCCGGGGCGCCCCGCGGCTCGTCGGGGATCTGGCGCGCGCCTTTTCTCGTGATCTTTCCCAGCCCGAGAGGGCCTCCCGACGGGTCACACGGGCGCCAAGAGGCCCCGAAGATGGCCCGAGAGAGCCCCGAGTCGCCGCCGAAAGGTCGCCGCAAGGCGCCCAAGCTGGCCCCGGAGGCCTCCAAGACGCCCCAAGAGGCCTCCCAAGAGGCCTCCCAGGAGGGCGCCAAGCGGCCAGAATCATTGATTTCCCCTCGGTGCTTGACAGATGTTGGCGTTCTCGTCTTTTTGGCTTCCCGACGCTCCAAGACGGCCCAAGAGGCCCCCGAGATCGCCCCGAGACGGCCCCAGAGGACCCCAAGATGGTGCCAAGACAGCCCAAGAGGCCCCAAGACGGCCCACGATGCGCCCGAAACGCCCCAAGAGGGCCCGAAGGTGGCTCCAAGAGGGGGCCCAGATGGGGGACCCGAACGGACATTTCGAGCCCTTGGCCCCGAGCGGCCCCCAGGAGGCCCCAAGAGGTCCCCAAGAAACCCCCGAGGAGCCGCAAGAGCCCCCCGAGAAGCCCCAAGAGGCCCCAGGAGGCTCCCAAGAGGCCCCCAACCTGCCGTTAAGAGGCCCCCGAGAGCGTTCCGAAGAGACCCCAGGAAGCACCCATGAGAACATTTGACCCACAACGCAGGCACGGTGGCTGGACGGGCCGAAGGCCACCAGGTCCGCCGCCCCCTGCTTGCAGGGGTGCACGGCGTGCTGGATGATTCAGGTTTTGGTTTTGGTTCTTTTTCTAAAAGAACTCCCCAGTGGGCTTCGGCCCGTCCCGCCGGCCACCCGCGCATTTCCCAAAATGCGTCTGTCAATGCCCAAAAACGGCCGTTTCGCTCGGGACATCCTCAAAAAATCGCGAAGATGGCCCAAGATGGCCTCCAAGTCCGCCCGAGATGGTCCAAGACGGCCTCCAAAACGGCCCAAGAGAGTCCAAGACGGCCCAAGACGGCCCAAGAGGCCCCCCAGAGGCCTCCCAGACGGCCCAAGAGGCCTCCAAGAGGTCCTCCAGGAGAGTCCGAAGAGGCCAAAATCATTGATTTTCCATTGGTTTTTGAAGGATTTTGGCATTTGCGCCTTTTCGGCTCTCCGACGGCTCAAGACGGCCCAAGAAGCCCCCAAGATCGCCCAAGAGGCCCCCAAGAGAGCCCCATGATGGCCCAAGTGGCCTCCAAGATGGCCCCTAGAGGGCCCCAAGAGGGCCCAAGAGGCCTCCAACACGCCCAAGATGGCCTCCCAGACGCCCAAGATGGCCTCCAAGACGGCCCTGGAGCATTCCAAGCGGGCCCCAAGTCGGCCCATAGAGGCCCCCCAAACGGCTTCCGACGGCTTCAGACGTGCCAGGAACCCACCAAGATGGCCGAAGTTGGCTCGAAGCTGGCCCGAGACGGCCCAAAAAGCCCCAAAGATCGCCCAAAGCTTGCCCAAGAGGCCTCCAAGACGGCCAAGATGACCTTCAAGATGCCCACGTGTTCCCCGAAGGCTTTCCAAACCGATTCGGGGAACACGTGGTCCGATAGCTTGGCAGGTCTGGCCTCAACGTTCGGCCACATAGGCGCTTCCAAAAAAACAGGGGGCGGCGGTGATTCGCCGTAGGCGTCTTCGATAGAATGCAGCTTCCAGGATATATGTGGCGCGGCTCCTGGAACTTCCATGCATCTGCATCTGCAAGCAAAGCAGAAGTGGATGGCTTCCGATGGCTCCGTGACCCAGCGCGGGGCGCCGGGAGGCTCGAAGGAATGGGGCCTCGGCTCTTGATGCAGCTGGGTGAGCTCAGGGCCTGGGGGATCGCCGCGGCTCAGGACTGCGAGCAAGCGGCGACCGTGCAGGCTGGCACGCCAACCGCCGTGCTCCGAACGGCGCCAGAGCCCGGGAAAGAGATGCGAGCTGATCGGAGCGCGGATTGCTCCTCCCCGAAGCGAGGGGAGCATCCGTACCGAACACTTCGGGGGCGCACCTTGCGCGGAGGTCGTCATGGCCGTAAAGGCCAGGAACGTGCAGGCAAGCAGCTCGTCCCGAACGGAGATGGGTATCAAGTACCCACTTCCTTCACCTGCCTCCAAAAGTAGACAGGAAGATGTAGGTGCGGGCGAAAACCGAAAGCAAAAGACGGCGGGACAAGATAATCTGAACCCGCCATCCCACCAACGCCGCCAAGATGGCGTGCGTCGAGCGCCCGAGGAACACTTGGACAACCGTTAGTCTGCAGAGGGTCACCGCTCGGACGAGCGGTGCGCAGCCTATGCCCATCCTACCTTCCACCTCTGCGCCGACGACGACCTTGTGGGTCGCGGCGCGGGTGCGCTTCCCAAGGGGTTCGTGGCAACTGATGGTTTCTGATGCACGAGTGCGCGCGCATAGAATTTTTCCAAGAAGGATAAAAGGGGGGGTCGGTAAGGAACTGCTTGGGACGGTACGAATTCATGATTGCAGTCGGCCCGTACCAAAAAGATGCGCGGTAAAGATGCTAGGGCCTTGGACGCACACTTCGAAGCTTTTCGAGCGGGCCGAGGCCAACGAAAGTGGCTAGGGATGGGCCGAGGAGGCGAGGATGCACGGGTACCCTTGGGAAGGTTGCTTATCCTGATTCTGCGGGTCGACTGTAGGATGGACGAGTGTGCATAATCGTTGACGAAGGACAATGCGAAATAAGTCCAGTGGGGGTGGGGTAGATCCGAACCTTTCTAGAAAGGACCAGTTATGTGGTGCAATATGTGTTGTGCAATCTACGTTGTGCAATCTATGTGGTGCAGTCTGTGTGTTGCAATACATGTTGTGCAGTTTATGTTGTGCAATAAATTGCACCACGCCACGCGTATTGCAACGACGACGGGCGGCGACGAGTCGGCGACGGGGCGGCGGCGGCAACAACATAGCCACACTGGCCCAGACGACGGGCGGCAATGAGTCGGCGACGGGGCGGCGACGGCGACAACATATCCGCCAGACCGCCACACCGGCCCAGACAACTGGCGGCGACGAGGCGGCGACGGCGACAACATAGCCGCCAGACCGCCACACGGGTCCAGTTCCTTAGTAAGATGTGAAAACCCCTCGGTGCAAGCACTGTTTGGGGAATGGCGAAGAAGCTTCGGATGCAAGCAGTGGTTTGGGAGAAGCGACAACATCACATGTACAATTTACTGCTCGGAGAGTGGATGCGCAACAGCAAAGACGCACATAACATGCGCATGCCTGCCAACGCGAGTTGTAGTCTAAGCCAGCCGCAAGAATGGCTTCACCATGCTCTTGCAAGCTTTCATTACTGTTGTGGCCTTCGGAAGGGCGTAGAGGCTCCTCAAAAAAACAGTGCAGACTTGAGCCACAAAACACAAGCGAACTTAAACTGAAACTCATGGCTGCCTAACTCTGGCGCATGCATGTGTGATACAACTTGCTACCCTCACCATGTGCACTTGCATGATGGCTGAACCTGATGAGATATGTTTGCCGCGGCACAACCAAAACATGTCCGTCCCTCCGACACACGGGCGTGCAAACAATCAAGCCACATGCGAACCCGACCTCCACGCTCTGAATATCCCAACGTAGACCTGTCGGTCAACGTTTGCTTCCGCTGACTTCCATCACCTTTCCGCCCGCTTCCGCAAACAGAGCTACCCTCATGTAATTTCCGCCCGCCGGCTTTTCGGGCCTTCCACTGAGTGTGGGACGTCATCTGTTCGACTTCGACTCCTGGAAAGGGGAAACCTTTTTTTCTGCAACACTCTGTGCCACTAGCAACAAACAGTACCTCGCCAGAACCACGTGAGGCCAATCGCCACCAGCGGGGATGTCAAGCCCAGCCCCCTGCGGACCCATACCTCCGATCTGTTCCTTCTTTCCCCAGCGGTTCACCCCTCCCGAGTTTTGCCTCGCATGCGTTTACCTCTACTGCGCGGCCTCTCGAACTTCCTGTATACAGGGAGACGGCCGAGGGCCCGTTCCTGCATGGAGTCCGTCGGACGAGGTTTCTTTTCCCAGGCGCTGCGCAGCGAGCAGCGCGCCAAGTTCAGTTTACCAATGACTGCGCCAGTACATTTGCGGAAGGGATGCAATAGGGAAGTGAGCGGACGTCACGCGCACCCCTTGCCCCGAAGCCTGCCAGCTCCCGATGGCCTCGGGCGCGCGGGAGACAACGGCAGGGGTCGAGAGCGGGAGTGCGAGGTCCATTCGCAGCCCCGTTTCATGTACCGCCCCTCAAAACGAGGGGGTACTGGCTAGCAAAGTGGGGGGGGATCTAAACCCACCACGCGGGGTACTTAGCAATATCTACCCGACTAAGTGGGCCGCGGGCGCGCCCCCAAAAACGCCTCGGCACTCCAGGACGACACTCCATCACCGCAGGTGAGAGGGCCAGGAGAGCAAGGGCAAGAGAGAACAGGACGAGGTGGCACCAGCATCCCTCGATGCAAGTGTGGCCACCGACGCGACGCACGCGCTAATAGTGTCGGATCGAGTTGTGACGACAACTCGATCAAAGTAAAGCAATCTCTCATTCACGGGGCACTCCAGGCCCACAAGATTGTAGGGCTCTCCAGGCCCGGGTTGGATCGCATGTACATATAATTGCGATGGCAACTGGTCTCTTCGATGATGCCATGCATGATGCGGGGCGCCCCAGGCCCCGAAGGTAAGGTGAAAATGATAGTGATGAGTGCTCTGGATCGGTCGTTCCCTGCCGCCGTATCCTTGCCCCAGAAAGTAACGATGTAAACATTGCATGTGTAAGATTTCTGGCGGACGACCTGCCCGGGTGCGTGCATGCCCGATTGCCAGATTGCGTCGTATCATTTTCGAACCAATATGCATCATGAAGACAAATATCTCACCAACCGATACGGTCATCATAATATCAAGAGTAGCAAGCATAAGCTATGCGCAGATATCAAAACAACATCCAGAACCGATCTCAAGATATGTGCAGCAAGATACACAGCATAAAGGTAAACCAATACCCACCTCCAGTTCACAAAATAGCGCCCGTCCCAAACGCGATTGCCATAATTGTTGAATCAACTGATGGTGATCACCTGGTAGTTGTCCCATGGCCAGATATGCTCGTTGTCCTCGCCGTCGATGTAGACCGATTGGGACTGGTGGTCCGACCAGTAGTGGTAGGTGTCGCGTTGGTAGTGTCGCAGCCCGCGACGCCGCCAAGTGTGGGCGTCGTGGTACTCGCGCGCGGCACTCCGACTACGGCAGCGATCTTCATCATAGTTGAGGTCGGGGCGCCTGGCTGGTGTCAGGGGTCGGCGTGATGTTGATGAATAATATGCAGCTCCGCCAGGCCCGTCCGCGGCGTCTCCCAAGCCGGCGCCGCCAGGGGCATGGGCGGGCGCGGGGCCATCGCGGCGCGGGAGTCGGACAGGTGGAGGAGCAGGGGTCTGGCGGGCAGGCTCCTCGGCGGTGGCTTCAATGCGATCGTCCTCACTCTCGCCGGCGCCCTTGGGTGCATGCGCCTGGAGGTCCTTCAACGCGACGCGACTCGCCCGGCCACTTTCCTTCGCAGATGGGACGGACAAAAGGCAGACATCCGCGGTCGAGCCGCGCGCCGCGAGGGGGGGCCCCAGGAGCGGGTGCCTGTCGGTTGGCGAAACCTTGCCTGTGGCTCTCCTCCCAGAGGCGCATTGCATCGTTCGCATCTTCGATGGTGCATGGGCGCAGGCACGCCTGCGCTCTCTTCTCTGTCATCAGACGATTAAAGACGGCGTCTTCTTGGAGTCGATCCGCGACATCGGGGCGTGGATGGTAGAGAACCGTTCCCCCTGCGTCGGCGCCCTCGAGTCCGCCGATGCGGCATTGGCCGGGGCTGGGCCTGCCAGCCTACAGCCATTTGGCGTGGCGAAGCCCGGCCTTATGGGCGAGCCTGCGGAGCGCGTCGTTCGCCCGTGCCTCGACAGAGCGCGTGCCCGCGACGCGGGCGCGGGCATCGGCGCCCGCGAGTTGGCGCGCGATTTTTTCGTCCATTTGTTCGCGGACCCACGTGCTCGCATCAGCCAAGATTTTGATCTGGTGAGCGCCTATTCCCCCATGCTCTAATGACTCGGAACAAATGTGGCGCATGCCAGTGTCGTTCGAGTCCTCATGGGGGAGATCGCGGTAGCAGCTCGCGCACTGCTGTCCGGGTCTCTGGCAGTCTCCAGCCCCATTCTCGATCACTTGTTGGATCCTCCTGCGGGCGTTGCCGCCGGCGCCCAACTTGCGGCCGACCAGTCGAACGATGCGATGCGGAACGAAGCTGGCGCTGTCGGTGGTGAGATCATCCGCCAATGATCGCAATCCTCTGTCGGTCACAGGATCGGGCAGATCCCCGCCCGCGATCTGATCGCGATCGCGGTGCGCTGAGGCCGCGCCCCGGCGGCGTTGGAAGAGCATCTCCGCTCTGCGGCAAAGCTTCTCGTCAATTGACTCGTCGGCGCGGGCGTCACCCATGGAGACGTCGCGGTCACAACGCAATGCCTCGATGAGTTCCTCCTGGGCGGGGGCGACGGCGGATGGCGCTTCCTGGATCAGGGACAAGGATGTTTGCGCCATCTGGCGGCGGTGTGGCGGAAGCCCTGATATTCTGCTGGTCGCGGAGCGGGGCCTTCGGCAAGTCGTCGCGCTTGTCATCGGACAACGCGGCCGTCTCCCAAATATTGATGAGGGATGCCAGCGCAGGGTGATTATTCAGGATGTCCTTGCGGCAAACGGCTCGTAGCGTCACTCTGGTTAATCGAAAACAAATGCGGAATCCAACGAGACAACACCAGGTCGCCGTTATCGTCCCAAGTCATCTCTCTCTCATCATAATAATGAGGAAGCGGTTGAGTCCGCAAGCGTCGGGCAATTATGTGGCCCATGGGCAGAATGGGTCGAAGATCAATGTGTGCCAATCAGCCTTGGTGTCGAAGCGGAACCGTATGTCCATGTGATTCTCCTACGCAAATGTACATGAACGTAGTTGCCGCTCCGTCTCCGTGTATGTTGCCGCGCATACCTGAACCATTCTCCTTTCTAAAAAGACAACCGACTCTACCCCCCCCGGCGTTATCCTTTCGGGCATGTAAATCACATATGATTCTGACCACATATCCGTCTTAAATACGAAATCACAATGTTCCAGGCCAACCGGTATCCCCCCCTGAGGTTCCATTGTAAAAAAAATGCGGTGACATTTTTGTTCTAACATGACACTTTTTCGTTACTCCCTTTGCAACAGAAAGCTGGACGAAGTGCACGCGCGCGCGTCGTCGCGCGCGCATGCCGGAATCGTTCAGAAACCTTCGGTGCAGGAAGGATTTCGCAATAGAGTTATATATATATATATATGAAAAAAAAACAATATATATATATATATATATATATATATATATAAGGTTTCGTAACGCAAATTTACTTTTTTATATATATTTTTTTTTTAAAAAAAAAAAAGAAAAAACAAAAAAGATTACGCGCAAGCTCTTGCGAAATCTTAAAGGAAAACATGGTTTTTTCAAGATCTTCACAGCATGCTACCAAACGGGCGTCGCGCGCGCATGTCGAAATCTGTCGAACGCCCTTGCGCGTGTGCCGTCGCGAGAATCCTCTGCAAAAAAACACCGAATTGCAGACGCGCGCGTCGTCGCGCGCGTACGCCGAAATCCTTCAAACACCCATCGGTTTCGGAAGGATTTCAAAGTCGCGCGTCCAAAAAACCCACAAAAACACACGGCTTCGCAACACGGATTTTCAACAAAAGCGTGCGCGCGCGCTCTTGCGGCGTCGTCGTCGTCGTCGTCGTCGCCGTCCTCCCTCCTCCCGCGTCGTCGTCGTCGTCGTCGCCAACGTCGTCCTGTGTCTTTCCTCGTGTTCGTCGTCGTCGCCCGCTTTGGCGTCGTGGTCGTTTCCGTCGTCGTTGTCGCCGTGGTCGTCCTTCCTCCTCCTCCCTCGTCGTCGTCGTCGTCGTCGTCCGTCGTCGGCGTCTCGTCGTCGTTCCTCCAATTTCGTCGCCGTCGTCGTCGTCGTCGTCGTCGTCGTCGTCGTTGTCGTCGTCGTCTCGTCGTCGTCTTCCCTCCTCCCTCGTCGTTGTCGTCGTCGGCGTCGCCGTCCTTCCTCCTTCTTCGTCGTTCGCGTCGTCGCCGTCCTCCCTCCTCCCTCGTTGTCGTCGTTGTCGTCGTTGTCGTCGTTTTCGCCGTCGTCGTCCTCCCTCCTCCCTCGTCGTCGTCTTCGTTGGCGACGTCGTCGTCGTCGTCGTCGTCGTCGTCATCGTCATCGGCGTCGTCGTCTGCGTCGTCGTCGTCGACGTCGGCGTCGTCGTCGTCGTCGGCCGTCTTGCTTCTCTGGCCTTCTCGGGGCGCTCTTGAG